TCATAAGTTTTTTTTTTTTGTTTATTTAGTGGCTTGTATGAAACTTTTAAAAGAAAACTCACTAATTAAATGTGAACATTTATTATTAAATACAATACATAAATCAGCTTTAATAAAACTATATTTTAGTAATTGAATTTCCTATGTTACGAGTACGTTAACTGTTAAGTATTTCATTCAGTTAAGATTTATAAACCATGTAAGTACAAAACCTGCTAAGTATGCTACCAATCAGAACAATTTTTATACTTTGAATGTGTATATAAATTATTATCAGTTTAAAATATTTGATGTGTCATAAAAACTATATGACAATTATATGAATTATCGAGGAACATATTATGGTTATTATTAAAATGTTAAGAAATTTAACTCATTTTGATAAAATATATTATAAACATGATTAAGTACCAATATAAAATAATAAATAATTGTAAACTGAGTTTATAAAACTTTAATATAATACCATCTTGACAATAATTCGAAAATAAGTTGCAATGGCAGAGATGGTACACACATTATAATTTGTATTTTGTACATAATATCATACAATGTGTATTGCGTATATGTGACGTGTACCTTAGACATTGTCAAACTGATTTTTGTATAGGTAAAAATAAATTTAAATGACGAATTTTAAATTTTTTAACAACCTATATTACCACCTTCCTCCTCTCCCATTAGTTTCTATCAATATCACATCCAAGCAATTGAATAATATTTTTTTTTCCATTTTCGATAATAATACTGAAATAGAATTCAAGAGTGAGCTTTGTCCAAAACATTATACGTCTCGATTATCAAGTAAATACTAGAGTATTGTTCACTAATACTACTAAATCTATCAAAAATAGGTTTAATCGAATCATTTAAACGTGTTCAGTAAAAATTCTTACATTAAATCAGCTTCAAACGACAGTATAAAGACCTTTTTCTTCTTTGCCTACACTTCTAAAAACAATTAAAGAGAATTCAATGAGTAGTGTAGCGTAATCATAATATTTTTATTATAAATAAATATGAATAATGTAGCACGTTGCACACTTAGTGTTCATAAACAGCTATAAATAGGTAGGAATATTTTATTAAGGATTAGAAAATAATTACAAAAAAACATAAACCAAACTTAATCAGTTACTAGACTAAAATATCACCAACTGTTTATTTCAAGAACACATTTAAATCAAAAGTGTATAAGTGATTATTTACTATTAATATATTTTTTTAACTTTCACTATTAGTTTAGTTTTTATTAACTTTGTTTGGACTTAAAAAAAATTATTTTCCCTAATGTTCTTTTAAAATTTTTTTTATTATATTTAAAAATATATAGAGGCTATTTCATTAGAAACTTAAAATAATTATTGAAGTGTAAAAAGATTTTTTCTAATGAGTTTTTTTTTTATTTGAGAAGTTATGTAAAAATATTTATCACGAGTTTAATAAAATATTAAAATTAAACTCACCTCATAATTTTTAGTTGTTTCATAACCATTTATTAAAATAATATTAAAAAGCAACTTGTCAATTTTCTATAAAAATAAAACAAGTAATACCAAATATTATTATATTCATTTTAAATTATATTGTGGTATTAAAAATATGAATAGTAAATACATTTTTAAAGTGGACCGTAAATCACTTTTGAAATGTCTCCAATGTTTACAAAGCGAATAATAAATAGTTAACAAGTACTTATTAATTATTATATCAAGACCTACTCGGTAGACTATAATAATTGAATGATTATTATTCATTGATAATAATGAATTTAAGAAATTTCAATCTGTACACGATGAAATTTAGAAATTAATTTACAGGTATTTATAGTTATAACTACTTATAACTTATAAACTATGATGAATAAAAAATATTGTACGAGCACGAAATATAATATTAGTGATCAAATTTGACTGTTTATACATAGGTAGTACCTAATATTAGTTTATTACAATTGAATTTAAGATAAACCATCAAATTGTTGATCTCTATAAGAATAAATAATGACATCCTTCTATCTTTTTTTTCTTTGTTGATATGTATATGTATTGGCTTTAATTAGATAATTTAAAGTTTTCTTAATATAATTTGATACATATTCTGTAAAGTAAAATTTAATATTACATAAGCTAAAATCACTGAATTTAATAAAATTATTACTTATTATTAATGTATAATATATGAATGAAAAACAAGTCCACCACCGCCTTGTTTACGAGTACTTTTATTATATTTCAGTCATTTTCATCGAATTCTAACGCAGACCACCTACTACAGACAACACACATTTCTAAATCTGATTACACACCATTAAACAATTTAGATTATTTTAATTTGATCCGTCATACATTTATATATGAACAGTATTAAATTATATATTATTACAGAACCACATACACAGAAAATAATATACCAAAATTATTTTGCTATTGAGGCAAACACTAATAATACTTATAGAAAAAATAGAAAAATCTGTTGACTTTATAATTTTTTTTAGTTCATCTGACAGATCCACACAGCCCCCTTACCACTGAATATGAAACTTCAAGCTAACGTGTATATTATATTATGATGATTGACAGAGTTAATAAATATTTGTGAGTATTCTTGCGATTTGAAAACAGTGTATTTTAATCGCTTTACATAATCGTATGCATACGTCTTACAGATGAATGATTACGACATAAAAACACGAATGCTATTTAAATGACTTGAATAATACCAATGAGCTATCTCAAGATAGAATGAAAAAATATATTAGTGGACATTAATTTTCATGATACACGCAAGTTCTCATTTTATCTTTATTAGTTTAAACTGTAAACGTTCCGTAAATTGAACCTTCAGAAAAAAAAATCAAAAATTCAATATAATCAAAAAGTTTTTATAACACATAGGTACATATTTTCGCTGTACACATATACTCTCGAATACTTCAAAGAAACTATTTCCAAAACTTCTACCATCAGTTATTTACTTCCAAAGCTATTATTTTGGCTACTCGGTAAGTGTAGAGATATTTTCTTACCAAAACAAAAACAAACATATTTCATGAAGACGACATGTTTACCTACTTAAAAAATAATATAGCTGATACGAATAAATGGTTATGATATTAATACCAGGTAATACACTAACTAAATTATTATTCCATTGGAGCATAAAAAAAAAAAAAAACCATAAGACTTTAAACTCTATAAATAAAAAAAATTGATTTTTATTCTCGTGCTATTAATTGATTAACAAATTCATATTGATGTAGTTGCTTATACAATCCGTAAAAATACATTAATGAAATAAAAAGTAAATAATATTGATAATATTAGTATTCCTCCATATATTTTTTTAAAACTAATGAACTAGTGAATCACTATTACTACTTGATTATCTCTCGTACAGGCTATTTAATTATTATACATAATTATTTCCCCGATAACTAAATAAAATATTTTACTGAACGTTAAAATTTATTATTCACATTTAAATATTCTAAAACCACAAAGAATATAGATCAAAAAAATTGTTTTGTTTATTAATTATGAAGCATGAATTTCATGACAAACAACAATTGATTTACACAATCATAAATATTTTAAAATATCCTTCAATGCAGTTATGATCGTATGAAACATAAACATTATATATTACCAATTCAAGAGGTTCCTAGAGAGAAAATAATCAAATTCATCAATGGAAAAATTAATATGGACTTTCTATTGTCTTGGGTTTTATTACTAAAGTTGTAAGCTCATCCTGCCGTGCATTGTATATTATTATTATTATTATTATTATTATTATTATTCTATCAACCAATATATTATTAATAAACATTTGTGTATCAACGAAGAAATGAAAAATAAACTCAACAAAGATTTTCTTTTCTGGATAAATACCGGTTAAGTATACGCCTATGAAAAAAATAAGTTTATATACCTACTATATATGTTTATTTGGAACCTACTAACGATTAAATAATAGGTATCAAAATGCATTCTCCATATTTGTGTGCAATGAATTAACGGTGGGAACCATTTTCATCATAAAACTTTCAATATAAAAAAGTAAACATCAACTGTGATAGAAAAATACAGAGACATAAAGAAAATCAATTAAATAAGTCACAATAATATAGGAATCTAAGTCCTCAACTCGGTAACTTTATTTTATATTTTATTTGTATTTATTTTTTGTCCTTCACTTTTAATTTGCATTTGGAGACTCTTAGTTGTAACACTGGCATCTTTTAGAAGGGGTAAAGTTTCAAGAGTTTTCAAGGGCTCGTTAACCTTTTCCGCTTGGCCATTCTCAAACAATAGTCGTTCAAAGTTTATAATAGGGTCTGCGACCATAACCCGGGCCAACGAAATAAGGTGAACAACCCATTAAATTATAAGAAATAATCACAACTAAATAAAAAAGCCTAAAACTTAAAACAGAGAAACGTATTCAAAGATCAAAATATAACGAATTAACAAAGTAATGCATTTTATTAAGCATTACCGCCGTTTACTCTCAAGAAATAGAGATGCTTTCGTTTTCCTTATATCAATGGCTATTCACCAAATTAAATTATCCTTACACAAACAAAAGCTTTATATATATAAAATTTAATATAAACTCTTGTTGATCAAAACATAGTAGTTGATAACAAAATTGACATTGAAACAAAAGTTGCTAGTCATAGGGAAAAACTTAAAACACTAGAATTAAAATAATAATTTGCTACATAAATTATTGTAAATTGAATTTATACACCATTTATTAATTTTATATTTGATGAAAATATAGAAAATGATAAAGAAATTGAATAAGATACTTAAATAATTTAATTTCTTTCTATTTTCTTAAATATATTTCAAAGTACTTGAGTAATATTCAAAAAATTTAAGACAAACCATCCTGTCGAAAAAAAACATGGGCAACATATTTTAAAGTTTCAAAGTTTCAACAAATTTGTATTCACTCGAGTATTCTACTACAATTGTGAAAGAAAAAATAAGATGAAGTAAAACTCGTAAAAATTGATCGAGTGTATTCAAAAGTAGCACATACATGATGCAATATTGTAAGTTATAAGTTAAAAGAAAATATACATTAGATACACCATGAAGTTTACTAGGTATCGAATATCATATTTTTATTTATCTTAGATATATGTAAGCATTTTTCTTTCGATTACAAAAACATTCAAGACGTATACATTTCATAAGTGCGTTTTTATTTTCCATACTAAAAGTGTAAAACAAGGGGGGCAAGCAACTTTACTGTACTCATATAAAAATATTTCGTTTTGAGCGCAAATCAAAGAAACTACCCATAACATGATTTTATACAATATAGTGGGAAATCTGTTAACAGATACTTTTGATCTAAAAAAATACTTTCAAAACAGAAGTACGTAAATACTAAAGTCATGCTTTGTTGCACCTAATCAGATAAGTGATAACATTGAAGCATATGAATAAAATGTTAAACGATGTATCTATTCATATAGATCCTTTTACTAGATTTACTTGAAAAATAAAAATATCTAAGTTTTCCTCAACATATTTTGTATTATTAAAATAAAGAATATTCAGTTGTGATAAATACGTTCTTGGTACTATCGAGTCTTTAAAAAATTATTATTTATCCCTTTCCATTTTTAGAAACTTAAAATAATCACATTTATTGGTAAGGTCAAAAATACTATTTTTCTTGATTTTATAACTTGTCATTAATAAATAATATAATAATGTAAATATTAAAATGTGTTACAATTTATCATAATACTTACACAATAATTTGTGAGATACCAAAACATTTCTAGAAAATAATTTTCTATCAATAAAAATTCAACAAATAATTAAAAAAGTTCATAACTTTGTATAAATCATATGATGATTGAATGAGATACATACATTTTATTGAACTTTTATTATTACTTACTAAAATATTAATGGTTGATTTATAGTTCAAAATGTATAATATCAAAACAGGATTTTTTTTGTTTATTTTTATGCAATTTTCTTTTTATATTGCTAATATATTCTTACCATTTGTATGCAGTGAAATAGTAACTAATATTGAAGAGTGTTGTTTGATTTTAAATTATAATAAAATAGTTCTCATATTGCAATTATAATTTTGTTATCTATGGTATGTGAGCCTACTCTAGTAATTTTAATGTTTTTAGATTTTAAAGAAATTTCAAGATTGCAAAGCTAGAACTTGTTTAATATAAATATATATAATAATATTTAAAAAAATAATATGATATTTTGGCAGTACAAAATGGAAGTAAATTGATATTCTGGATTATATAATAATAGATAATATTATAGTATATATCCATGTCTGAGATTGAATAAACAAAAATGTATTTAATTATAAATAAACGGAGATATTTAAAGATTTGCTGATTTAAACTTAAAATAACCATTGATATAAAGATCGTACTCATGACAACTAAATAAAATAACTTCGAATAAATTTTGTTTAATTTTATTATTTTATTTTTATTTTTGTATTTCGTTTTTAGATTCTATAATGAAAAAAAACAAGTTCTATTCAACAGATTACTGAGGAAAAGAATATCCAAAAAAAAGTAATCGAATCAATAATACACTAAAAATGCCTAGAATTTTGGAACACGGATTAGAGTACTATTAAATATTTGGAATATTAAATTTTAATAACTATTACTATTACTATTACTACTTTTATATTAAATAAGTAATTATTGGTAAATACTAAATATCAACAATGATATACTAAATTCAAACATATTTATTAAGTGGCATATTAGAATAGCACGTACCTCCGAATATTCTTAACACTCAATATTATTCCCTTAAGTAATGACTATGTATATCAACCGAATATTAAAACGAACTTCATGTACTTATATACTTTGTACATTACAAAAAATATAGATTTAATTTAAAAATTAAATTTGAGAAAACTTGCTATATTTTATTGTTTATCCATTGTCAAGAAATGAAATTTACGTATTTATAGTGTCTTAGGTTGTGAATTTAGAACTAGAAATGATAATACACAATAAATCATACCCTAGCTATGTAGTTATCGTATAAAATATAAAAATTTAAAAAATTTGTCACTTTGTTGTCACATAGGAGTGCAATATGCTTGCAAAATTGTAGTTATTCTATTGTATACGATGTAGCAATATCAATGGGTATGTATGTCGTAAAACCAGAAGAATCGTGGGATTTGTGGTGGTGTAATACACCCATGGACATTAAAAAAGCCAAAAATTTAAAAAAATATCAAGTAAGCTATAAAATGTATATAATATAATTATAATTTATAATACATAGGAAGTAAAAATATGTTTGAGATTCTGAGCATAATTATGAATGTATTGATTTTACAATAATGATATGTTTTTTTTAATCATCTTTTGGAGTAGCAAAAATTATATTAACTTCAACTTCAATAAATTTTATAATAGGAAATTTAATTTAATTGGAAATTTTAGTAACAAGTTTCTAACAATTTTTAGTAATTATAGAATAACAAATCATTTTAACTTAAACCAGTTTCAAAAAGGATTTTCTCATTTTGTTACCTATATCTAATTATTGTAAATATCTTAATCATTTGTCTTGGAAATTTTTGAATTGTTTTCCTAAAAATGTTGATAAAAAAAATATATGCAAGGAAGAATAATATTTGATAAAGTAGTAGATTCTTGCACACTATATAATTTTAAAATGAAAACTGTATAAAAAATAAGTTACATATTTAGGCAGGGGCTAGAAATAATTATCGTCTAAGGCAAATCTAAGGCTTTTAGGAGTGAAACTTTAATGTACAAAAATATTTGCGTTTAATTCTAAACTGTATACAATAAACTAAAACCCTATACATGAAAGTATATTACCAATAGGAATATATATAGTTAAGTAATAGGTATATTTATTTTTTATATTAAATTTGTTTTTAGAATCTGAGCATAGCAATTATTTTTTGTTTATCATCACTTTTTGTGACAGTAATAATGCTTTGATTTTAAAATTTGGAGATGGTTTTAGGTAGGAAATTCAATCTATTTATTTGATGTTTTTTTTTGGGAAAAATTTTTAATTTTTTTTTATAATTAATGATGAAAATTATTTGCCGGTTTAAAATACATAAAAATTTAATACAATACTCAACATAAGTTATAGAAATATTAAAAATGCAGTTCACTATTTTTTTTTTTTTTTACGTATTTGAATATAGAATTTAGAAAAAAACGTATAAATATAAAAAGCAAATTATTTTATTTTTATTTTTTTTTTTATTTTTTTGGAAGATGAAATACAAATTTCTTCATAAGTAGTTCATACTGAGACCATAAAATAAAAAAATAAACATAAAGGTAATTATTTTTTATTGACATTTTAAGTAAAAATTTGGACGAAATTAAATGATTAATAATTATTAGGTTAATTATTTTATTATAATTAAAAACATTATTAGATAGTAAAATTAATAAAAAATAATTACAAACAATTTTTCTTATTTAACTAAAACATTGATATAATTAAATACATTATTTGTACATAAAATCACACATTAATAAAATAATATAATTTAAAGAAATACAACCATAAATAATTACTAAAATCATCATTTATTATACTAATTCAGTAATGCTGTAAACCTGTTGTAAAACTAAATTTTTTTTCTTGCTGCGTAGCCAAAGTATAATTTTTTTTTAAGAACTTTGAATAAATTTCTGTAGTTAACTTCTAATGGTAGTTTTTTGTAAGTTGTTGGACCAATACATAATTATTTGGATAGTATTAATTTTTTATGTATAATTATTACTTTGATTATAGATGATAATATTTTTCTAGTATTATTTCCGTATTCAATTTTAAGAGTAACTACATTATTTTTAACTTAGTAAAGAACAGAATCTTAAAATAAAAAATTGTATTATTAAGGGTAAATTCATATTATTATATGTCTATTTTGTAGCATATTGAATCTGTTTCTAGAACAAATTTCAGTATTTTTTTTTTTTATGGATCTATAGTCGTTTTGTACATACTTCTCCATATAGAAATAACGTAATTAATTATAAATTCCATTAGTGCTTGATAAACAACTTCTTAAGTTCTAAGAGATCTGTTGACTTTTGAAAACTTACATTATTTTTCTTAATGGATGTTTATTTACTGTTAAGTGTAGTTTATTTTTACGAAAAATCAATAAAATAATTGCAATTGTTACCCAGAGTTTAAATTTTTTGATTTTCGATGATTTTTTTTTTTTGAAGAAAAAGAAGAAGAAGAAGAAGAAAAAGAAGAAAAGTAATTTTATTATTTTTAAAAATGTTTATGAATTTATTAGTAGCAGAATTTACATTAAAAGCGTTCATTATTATTGACCAATTATTGTAGTTCTTTAACGATAGTGATGATTTAGAATAATTAACTTGTTTAAGATTTTTTGATTTGGTGAGTTGTTCTTATTATACCTAAATTATGTTAATTATACTAGTAACTATTGCTAAATGGTCAACTAAAGAGATATGAGCAACAAATGTTTTTATATTTGTTAGTGCATAAGATTTTAAAAGTACATAATCTAAACAATATCCTATTTCTTTTGATATAGTTGTATAATTAATGAGATTAATAAATCCATATTCGTTAATTAAATTGAGATAGTTATTACAGTATTAATCGTTATTTATTATATTTATATTTAAGTCGCTCTTTATTATATTGATGTCACTTTTTTTGATTCTAGATTTTCGAAGGATAATTTGTTAAAATTCATCTAAAAATAAATTAATATTAACTTGTGGTGGTTTATAAATTCCATAAACTGTGAACTTTGAATTTCCTTTTCTTAAAATTTCTAAGCTAGATATTGTTTAAGTTAGTTACTTGTGTATTTGTGATTAAGTTATGAAAACAATAATATCATCGTTATGATTTATTTATTTTAAAGTCTTATCTTAGTATTTTTAGTTTATAAATCTTATTTTAATTGGTTAATGTTTAATTTAAGTAGTGATGTAGATGTAATAGATGTCTTTTCTTACTGAATACTCAGTACTGAGCAATAAACATATCAAACCCAATAAAATATTAAAATGTATGATAAATAATAAATTAAACCGATTCGCGATTATGTATCTTATTGTTTTCAGAAAACGAATCATTTTCTGGGTATGTCAGAAATTTGTCGTAAAGATTCATTAGCTCGCAACCTCAATAAAATGGCTAATAGTTTTCGAGACGATTATAATTTTTATCCTATGACATGGCATTTACCATCGGAGTAAGATTTTTCTAATAAATAGTCGACATACAATAAATATAATTTAATTAATTTTAGTTACATGAAATTTCAAATTTACACGAGTCAACATAAAAATTCAACATATATTATAAAACCAACAGCAGGAAGTCGAGGTACCGGAATATACATAACTAAGTCTCCAAAAAAAATTAATCTGTATGAACATAATATGATTTGTCAGCTTTACATTTCCAAAGTAGGTAATCAAAAACAAATTTTTAAACTATAAGTAATATATTATTAAATAAAAAGTGAATTACCTTTCTCTGTAATATTATATTGTTTTAGCCATTGTTATTAGATGGCTATAAATTTGACATGCGTGTGTATACTTTAATAGCATCATGTGATCCACTTAAGATATACGTTTACAATGATGGTCTTGTCAGGTAAAAATAATATCTGAATACTTAAGACTTCGAAAACCCAACAATATTTTTGGTATAAGAAACTAAAACTTTTAATAATCTATTAAAAATTGTTTTTTGACTTACTAAATATAAGTAAAGTTACGGTAGTTACGTAAACAGTTACGATTACTGTTGGATAGGTTATAGAAAAAATATAGTTTAATGTGCGCAAAGTCTAGAAACTATCTGAGGTATGATACACTTCTCAATGGTCAATATTTATGTGAGGGTTGAAATTTTAAATTTTAAATCCACATTTTGACTTAATTCAATTTTAAACCGAGTTTAAATGTCAGTGTTCAACATTTTTATTTAAATTGATGATAGTAACCTATATATTTATTCAAGCAGATTTATTTTTTCCATAATTATTAGTGTAGTATTTAATACAATTTTGATTACATTTAAAAATGTTATTTATTATATTATATTTTATTATTTATTTTAAAACCTTGCTGTAAATAATTAGGCACATTAAAAATTGTCTTATAAAGCTTATAAATGTATAAAATGTCCACCTATTTATTATATGCGTGGTACTGTGTAATAATTAATAACTTATTTTACCTATTTTACATTTCGTTAGTAATGCGCCAATGCTATAATAGTTCAATGGACAATGCAATTCAATTTTCACTTACTCCATATACGATAATTTCACAGATTAGCAACGGAACCTTATGAAACACCCACGCACAATAATATAAACGATCGGTTTATGCATCTAACCAATTACTCAGTGAACAAATGCAATAAAATGTACATTGATAACGAACTTTTTGGAAGTAAACGGTGAGATAAAAAAATAAACAAGATTCTGTCGTTAATTTTAAAATATGCTTCGTTAAATTTAGCCGAATTACAACTCTCAGTAATTGGCTACGTGCAGAAGGCTACGACGAAAAAAAAATATGGAACGAAATTGATGATGTTATCATTAAAACCATAATCCTGGCCTATCCGTTTGTCAACCGCAGCTATCAGACGTGTTTTTCCGGTCATAAATATACGCCAGCATGTTTCGAAATTCTGGGATTCGATGTACTTTTAGATGAAAACTGCAAGCCATATCTCTTGGAAGTCAGATATTGTTACATCATTGATTCATACGATTAATCGGTGTTTAATATTTTTAACATCCTAACGAATTGTCCTTAGGTTAATCATTCGCCAGATTTTCACACAGACACTTCGATTGACAAATTAGTGAAACGAGAATTACTGATTGATACGTTTAAACTATTACAATTGAATAAGACTTTAAAAAAATTTGTTTCTGGAGAAGAGAAATGGAAAATTCAACAACAAACCATAAATTCTGATAAAAACGTTTAGTATGTTTGAAAACCATTTGCTTACATTTATTAATTTATTCAAATACAAATTTTTAAATCAATTGTATTTAAAAAATGTTGCTGGTTAACAACTTTAAAAATAACCTTAGTCATACAGTTAATAATTTTGTATCCATACCGCTACTATTGTACTATATTTATACCAGCTATCACGATTATTGAAATCTAAATTTTTTTATATAATACTATAATTACCTATGAAGAAATAGAGAAAAATATATTTACCTACTTAGGTTATTTATAATATTTTCAATTATGTGCTTGATTTTAGTTATGTAAGACCTTAATATAACCTGATTAATTTATCAATAATAATATTTTCTATGAAATTTTTAAAATAAGTAAATATTGAGTATCGTTTAATAACCTATTAAAGCACCAATATTTTTACATAAAATAAAGCATTATTTTTTTTTATGTATAATAATGTGTGTAAATTATTTTTAGCAAGCAAAGAACGTTAAGGTGCAAAGAAAATTTTGAGCAACAAAATAATTTATGGGAAAGCAAAAATATGGGTAACTACAGATTAGTATTCTCAGAGAAAAATGCGCACTTGTATGAACATTATTTTTACTGCAATGAAAGTGCAATTTACCGACAGACATGTCGTGCATCATTGTATTATTGAAAAGTAATTTCAGAAAAAAAGTAAAATTAATAATATTTCATATATTTATTAGTAATAAATATATTTCCTACGATTACTTCTATTACTTCTCCACTAAATGACACTCAACTTTCTATCCATTCTAAATATCCATGTTCCTGCATACTTTTCTTTATTATCCCCTCCCCCTCTATCTCCTATATATACAATCAGCATAATATAATAATACAATCGTATAATTTTAGATTAAATATTTAAAATTTTTAAGCCCCTAGACTATATATATACTTACAGTAAGATATATATAATTATAATAAACAAATATATTATTTGTAAGTGTATAAAATAACAAAATAATTTAAATAGTAGATGCATACCTAATGTATTTAATTGTAAGATGATTACTGAACAACACAAATATTTTAACTTATAAGATGCATAAATTAAATGATAAGTCTTTTTATAAATTTTATAGACTAGATTTTGTTAAAATCAGATGGGTTAATACTTAAGCCTCAATTAAAAAAAAAAAAAGTGAAAACATTCGAATTGATACCATAAACTAAAAACTGAAACAGATTAGATTCATTTAAGAAAAAAAAACACCGAACAAAATATCAGGACTTATTAAATAAAAAATTAAAATTTAGTTTTCAGGTAGTCGAAAACAATGTATTCATTCACGATTCACCTAATTTATGTAGAAAATAATAATATAAACAAGTAAATCAAAAAATATATAACTATTGATTGTTATACATCTATACCCAATTCTAGGACTTTCGTGTAGATTGATAGAAGTTTTTATTTTTTTGATGGATTGAATAATGATACAGTTGATTGGAAATAAACCAATTTCATAAATACTGTATAATATAATATTATTTGAATTAAAAACAATAAAATTATTTAATCATATTGAAAATACTCGTTTAAATGTTATGAACAAAATATTGACTGAAAGTATACTTATTTCCTAAAGTTGTGTAAATATTATTATGCGTTTTTTATTAGCTTAGTCATCGTACTAAACCATTAAACTTATGCTCAAGTTCCATTCTCATATGATATAAGAAAACTATGAAACATTTATATACTATATAAAGTTAAAAGTCATAACTACAAAAAAAAAACACAAAATATAATAATTTGAAAATATTGTATTATATTATATATATATTTGAATATATATTGTACCTACCTATAAACTGTGTGTCCTTGTTCTCACTATTAAATCCTATGCGTGTATAACGAGTAACTTCAAAATTGTGTGTATATAACATTTATGCTGCTAAAGCTAAACAGTAATTTCATTTTTATCTAAATATTGATTTTTTCATTTATAATCTCAATACTTATAATAGCTATAGCCATAATGCGCAGTAACATAGCGCACATTTTACTAAAGTTAATTCGCTACTTAGTCACAATTTTTTTTTTAATTTTAACAAATTGTAAATACTCTTAGAAAATAAAATGATAAAATGCATTTTTTTTTTAAATGTTTCTATTGCATAAAAATTTGTTGAAAGTATTAGTCAAAAAGTATCTGCAGTCGTTCTAGAAAATCAATTCTTTTGTAAATTAATTTGCACAAATTTCTACTGTAATTTAAACAGTAAATCAGTCTGAGCTGCTATATTACTATATGTTTAACAATAGTTATACCTATGCTGTTGTACAACCTCAAACTTAGAAAGGTGTCAACATTTATTGGATAAGCGAATAACTAAAAAAAAGGTGATACGAGTTACGAGTACATGACTCTCTGGTACAATTAAACAAACATTTTAGTGAATAAAAAGAGTGGAATGATCGCGTATGTATACACGTGTAAAATTAATTATCTATGAAAATAAATTTTACAAAATCATCCATCCCTCAATCTTTTTACAGCGCCAGCTCAATTTACATATTGATCAAATAAAATCATAATAAGTCATACATGAGCTAATATATATAATTTTTTTTTAAATAAACTATTTTAACTAAGAACGAACAACAATAGTTAAAAGATGTAGACACATAATACATACATATAAAATTCAAAATAATATATTTATATTTTATAATAAATTGAACAGTCGTTTTACCAAGCCGATTCGTTCACAAATTAGTTGTATGATATTTCTCTTCCGTTTACGTCTCAAGACGTAAATAATTAGGTAATGTATACAAAACTCCGCATTGTTCCAATATAAGTGTAAGACAAGTGGTCTATAACAAATTAGTATTCCCAGACAGTTCCATTTTAGACGTCCGGTGTGAATCTCATATAAAATATCTCTAGTAATAAAAATAAAATACAAAACACTGAAACACAGTGGACGTTTTTTTTTTCCTGCAATTGTATACAAAAACGAATTGAGAACAATTATATTATTCCGATAACAATAGCATAAACAATGTATTTCAATCATTATAATGAATAAAAATAGTGCCTACCTATATTTGACTTGAAGCTCGAAAGTTAAAAAAAAAAAAATAACTTATACTATAAAAATATAATCTATTTATTATGATATCAGTTATTTATTGAATGGATATAATATAATATTATACATTATACATGCATAATGTATTTTGTATTGATCACAGACACACGGCATGGAAAGACTCACAAACGCTCTATTTTACGTCACGCAAACCACTTTTATAAATTACATTCGTCATTTATTAACAGCATAAATATGTACCTGTGTTGAAAATAATGAGTGTAGGTAGTTGTGTATTATTAGCCAAAAACTTAATATGAATTAGATAGTTCGTCAAAATGACCATTTAATTACAATGGATTTCCTTTCTTAATTCCGTATGAGTGTATGAACAATTTTACATACATTATACATTTTTAATTAAAACATTACGTACAACACAGCCCACAAGTGTTTTTTTTAGATAGACTAGTGATTCTCAGCCGTTTTAAAATGATGAGCCATATATAATTAAATTTTATGAGCATTTTAACTATAGGTACCATATAATGGCTAGTGTGTAATGACACAACACGCTGAAATATATATGTTTACAGACATTATTTTTATAATTGTTAATCACCTTTTATTTGAGTAGACTTTTCTCTTTTATCTGGTCAATAGATTCAGAGAAAAACAAAAATTTCAAGTTTAATATTTATCGTAGTATAAAAATATGCAAGGTTGGAGAGTGTTTTAAATAAACTGTTAACATATTTTAAACAAAAACGTTTAAAACGATTTATTTAGCTTTTAAAAAACATAAAATTTTAGTTATTATAATTTCTGTGATTGTAATATAATATTAATGATGTGTTTAAATATTATATTATTAAATTACTAATATTAGTCTTAAATCCCAAAACAAATAATATTATATCATCAACTCACTTCTTTACATAATCAAATATCTATAAACATGTTAAACGTTTGAATCAAAATTCATAAGTACTATAATATTTAATTTAATTAACTTTGTATTACCAGTTATAAGATAGAATTTAAATTTAATTAGTTCTGATAATGCAAAACAAAATATATTATAATTTTTATATTTTTAAAAATTAATTTTTTACTTTAATAATGATTAAAACTAAAAAACAACATCGTTTTAAACTAATAAAGCATTTGTTATTTTTACAACCTTGACAATAAATGTAGCAGTCGTAAATTTAACGACTAACTGTAATTAATTAATTAAGTAGATATAAGTGATCAGGATTGATAAAATGGTTTAGTTTCATAACGATGAAGTTTGATGCGTCAGTGCACTAATGTATACCTATATATTTTTATTTTTTTTTAACTTATTTTAATTGAAAACTGGTAAGGTACTAAGGAGTTTAAATATAATATTAAGAAAAATAAATAACTATTAGTAAGCGATGTTTCATGGTCATATGTCATCGTGAAAGTCTTATGTCAGTTATAAAAAATAAACGTTTGTTACTTAAATATATTAACTACAATGTATACTATAAACAATATATAAGTATATTGTAAATGTTTTCAAAAAATTCTATACTGCCATTAAAATAGAAAAAACTTTAAAATCAATTAATTCATAAGTCAACTGTATCATTTCTTGTAGTTAGCGACCAAATAATTACCCATAATACCTCCACTCACAATAGATACTAATTATATTTAGATAGGTAGGTATTATTTTTTTCAATTTTAAAAATTGTATCAAATAAGTGGGTAGTATTGTATAATTCAGCTTCTTTAATCAGGTTTTTAAGTGTATAATATTATTGTTTAAATACATTTGTCGCCGACTTGTAGGTACACCATATACATACTCCCACGCACCATACTGTAATTATTAATTATTTTAATATTTGTGAATTTTCCATCTGTGAGTTACCGACATTAACGTCAATATTAATTATTCCCACCGCTCCATTGCGAATGAGACTCTAATAGTTAAATGTAGTGATATAATAATTTAGTTATGTAATGATTAAATAACCATAGTAAATATATTTGTGAACAGTACAGTGGCTTGTGTCCAATAAATACATGTTGCTTATTTATATGTAATCATACAAATATTATTTGTACAATACCAATTGTTTAATTAATTATTATTTCCAAGCCCGCGCACACTAAAATTGATACACGCTGTATACATCACTCAATCTGAACGGTAATGTCCTTAGATTTTCATATTTTTTAGCATTTTGCAGGCACTGTATTTAAGTCTCGACCATCAAGCCTTAAATATCATAATAATATGGTTCTATAATATTATAAATTATTATTTGATTTATTATTTATACTTGAGAATAAAAGTAATAGTCGAGAATAATGAATAATTATAACTTTTAAACGTATTTTAAAGACTCAATAGTTTACTCGCCTATCAAATAACAATAATAATTATTATCATTATACTTTGTATGTGGAAAACGGTTGTTCGACTTCGCATATTTTATTTATTTATTAATGTCCGCGCTGACTGGTAATCAAAATTTGTGTTATCGTAATAATATCAAAGTTGTCAAACAGAGAGGGCTAATGCTACGTAGTTCCTCTCTATGCCAC